GTATTTTGAATTTTTGGACCTTGTGTTTGGTCATAGTAGATTTTTTGTACTAGTGGACCCGAATGTATATGAATATGTATTTCTTTGGTATGAAATATGTATTACATGCAATGTGTGGGTTGAGACGTTACATAAGTTCCTTACGTACATTAGACCATTGGACAATCACTATCTTGATTTGCATATACTTTTAAATTTCTTCTCTTATTTAACTCATTCGTATATATATTAAATAAATATCAATTATATATATGTACACGTTTAGGTTCCGAATGAAAATAAGAGTTAAGGTAAGAAGCGTAAAAATGATCTTCACCTTTGGATACACATTAGGATGAGATGCACCGGAACAATCCTCGTACCAAGCACAATTCATGGGTAGGTTTAAGATTAGAGATGATAAAAGTCCAAATCTTTTCTTACCTTCCTCACCTTTAACTCTCATTCTCACACTATTCTTCGCCTATATACATTTATGAAGAAATTTCAAATAGCAAATATCGGGTCGAATTGTTAAAATGTTTTCAACCCAATCAACCAAACTCGGTTCATTCCTAATCACAACGAAACATTTTCCGTCTTTTTGAGTCATTCCGGTTTTAGAAACATATGTTACGTACCAACGAGTTATTTTAAATCTTCTAGAATACATCATGCCAAAGAATCGCGATCTAAGACGCAAGAATCATGGGAACAAACCCAACACGTACGAATTGAAATTTCATCCTCCACCGCCACCACCACCACTTGAAATACGAAACCATCGTTTTCAAAATTCAAATCCCTTCCAAAATGAAACATCCCAACCACCCGCCTTTCACTGCAAAGTTGTTCATGCACACACTACAGATGACTTTGCTCATCATAATTCTCATCTCCTTCCACACAATCACAGAATCAGCAACAAAATCAGAATCGGTGCCGCCAGAAACGGTGATCCACTCGCCGGTCTCTCTTATCCCCCACCCACATACATCCAACAACATAGAACATGAAGATTATGGTGGCTCGGAGAGCGTACCTGACCCAGGACGAGGAAACGTTGACGGTGGCGGTAGAATACCTCATTCAGGGTTAGACGAAGAAACGGCTGTTGACGATATCGACCTAGAAGCTTGATCATGGAGTAATATCGCATTTACCGATATTTAATCACCCAATAATGAATCCATCATATTTATATATGAACCAAAAGGATGTATATCTATCAATGCATTGTCTACAAATACAAATTTAGATGTTTATAACTCATACCATCTTCATATTTTTACAATTACAACTACCCAAATGGTCATATACCAAACTGGATCAAACCAAAGATTCAAGAAAAAAATTTCAGAAAAATGGGAGGTAAGCGAACAACGAAGCATAGAAATAAAATTTCTTTAAGCATTTCGAAAACTAGTTGATGGTGACATCTTACATAAGATGAATTGAAGATGGGCCAGTGAAAGCAGCAACTTTCTGAGCATGCTGAGCTTCACTCTTGTATAACTCTTTCAAATCTTTTTTTGCACGTCGTGCCTCTCGTTTTTCCTCCTTCACCGCAGCCTGCATCGATGAATGATCAACACAATTAATCATATGCAGTACACCAAGAGCATAAGGGAAGGCAGAACAGAAAAAAAAATCCCAAAATCTGAGAACTTGAAATGCACCAAAGATGCAAGAACAATAGATTATCGGAATTAATTCGTTCTTCTTTGCAAATAGGGCGTATAAACCAATCCAAACAAGCCTTTTATATCCCACACAGAAGTGGGGTCTGGGGTTAAGATGTACGCGGCCTTAACCTCTACCCTAAGGAGAAGAGCAGTTGTTTCATATATAGGGGGCAAATCAAATAAAAATCATCTTAAAGTTGGAAACCAGTTTGTATGTTTTGTTTCATAGATGAAACAACAAACACAAGTGAACATTCAGTGTTGATAAAATGTTGTTTCTTTGATAAAACGTCAAGGAATTTTTGCATGTGAAAAAAACACAAAAATACGTTTAAACAAGCAACACATACTCGTTGTCACATGCAAACAACAAATCATGTGAAACAATATGAATCATAACTTAAAAGAAAAACTCATTGAATGGTTGTGATTGATTTCAAGGGTTTGGTTTTCACATGTGCTGTTTCACCTACAAAACAAGACATGAAGTTGGTTTTTATGGTTTCAGACTTTTAGCGGGTTTCTATTTCATTTGTAGTTAGTGAAAAGTCTGTGAAAGAGAGAAATACAGATATGTTATTTGAAAAGCTAGATATAAGTAAGCATTAACAATACAAATATAATGAGAGATATGCTAAAGGAAGTATGATTTATTAATATCTACGAATTCAAAAAAGATTAGATTCGTGAATTTTCAAAAACCAAACAAAGATTTCCCATGAAAAGGATTATGTTATCTGAAATACCATGCGGACAAGGGATAAAGATGATAGGAACATATAGAGTACATACCTTCCGCTCTTTCTTTTCTTCCTTTGTTTCTTGACCAAGTTTCTTCCTCTGTGGCTGCACAATCTTCGGTTTACTCCTATCTTTCGCAGCTTCTGTAGCAGCAGTCCTACTGTGAGGCAAAAAGTCCACTGGGAGCTTTTCTTTTCCTTTTAGAGAAATTACATGAGTGGGAGCCGTAAACGCCTTGGTGACCGTTTCAGTCAACTTCTTTTTTCTCCGTCCCCCTGGGGCTTCAATCTTTGCAGGATGGTTATCAAGATTTGAGTATGTAGTTATGATAGTCTCACAATCCCATGTTTCTGATTCATCGCTGCTTTCCTCTAGAATCACCTCTTCCTTATCATTTTCATTTTCATACTGTTCTTTAGCATATTGGATGCACCGAGGTATCAGATCAGATGCAGTTTCAAGAGAGATGGGCTCTTCTGCTAACTTTTTGTCATGCAACAAAACTTTATATTTTCCATCCATTTCCAAGCTATCAATTGCACGGTCCAAAGAGTCATGATTGAGCTTCACTGCAAGAGAGTCATGACACTCATAATCTTCGGATAAGGCTCTATCATATTCATCTTCGCTATCTGTACCATATTCCTGAAGTTCAAGCTGTAAAAACTAAAAGTTAGTTGAAGATCAAAACATCGACTACTAATAGTTTTTTTAATTCCATCATGATAGATACTAAATCCAATTACACCCGGAACACAAAAATCGGTTAACGACCTTCTGACAATTCTCTTTTATCTCCATAACCTTCCGACATGTTTCAGAATGCCACTTCCATAAACAAGAATGCCACTAAACTTGTCAGAGGGTTATATTTTTAATAAAATTCTCATTTAAGGTCATCGTGCAAAATAACCGAATGAAATGATGTCAATAAAACTTAAAACAGATGATATAAATTGAAGGGCATGGTCGGAATAATCTAGTAAGATAAGATTGCCTCATCCATTGGCATCATAATTTCATACAAGATGAAAAAAACATATATATGAATATGGGTTTATATAATACAGGAAATAAGAAATTACTGCAGGAAATCCTTACCAGATCAAACTGTTCATCCAAAGGTCGACTTTCTCTAGGCTTTCCAACAACCAAAGTTTCAGAACCAACAAGAACATTATCATGTGAGTGATAAGTATCATATTCTTCTTCCTTGCTGTTCACATTGGATTCTTCTGCCAAACATAACTTCTTATCAAGTGCTACGTCTTCTGATTCATCTGCAAGATTCGCATTGAAAACAAAATCCTCTTCCAAGTCTTCAACATCTGAACCAAACCGTGATGAACCACTATCGTCCAGCAGTGCAGCCACTTCAGGATCAATTGCTTTCTGAATCCTCACAGGAACAGTTTTAACAGCAACGCCATAAATTGACTTCTGGTAGGAATCATCATCGTTTGCCTTAGAGACGTCAATTCTAGATGCATCATATGCCTGGAAAACAAAAACAAAAAGATAAGGTAATTTTACACTATGTGCAACTCTATACACCAAACCATAACAAAAGGATACACGTAATCAAGTAAATAAAGGCCACCCAACACAATAAACAAAAGAATGGTCAAATGCTTAATCAAAAACCCATCTGCATTACATACAAACACATAATCACCGATACCAGAAAAGTTCCAACTACATCCAGCATTAAAGGGTGTTCAAATACATTAATTGCTGACAGAAAAATGAGAATTATATAGCCGGTTAGGATAACAGTATAAGTAATTGGGATGCTATCAGCTACAACGAACAAGGTAGAAGATGAAACAAACCTTTACATCACGAGGTAGCTGGTCAAGCCTGACCTTAGGGTTCTGGTAAAACGATGAACCACCTCCGCCATTCCTAATTTCCCTGAGATGAAATAAGTAATTGTACCCATCATCAGGAAAACCTAATTCCAATATCTCCCTCCTCACATGATCAGGCAATGAAGATCCTCCTCCCAGTCGTCCCCCCGTCGTCTGTTTCTCAAAACTCTCACCCTGGCCACCCATTTCTTCACCGCTGTTATCTTCAGGAGCGTCATCAAATATTCCATTAGGGTCTTCCTCCTCATTCAGTTCACCGTCGTGTTCGTCGAAAAAGGCTTTCTCCGAGTTACCATCAACTCTGACGAACACTCTGTCACCAGAGGGTCCTTCGGAGTAATTGGGATCGGAGGAATCACGAGAGATTAATTGGAAAGTTGCTGCTTTTTTCTTGTCGATGAACTTCTTCTTCCTACCCATTGTTGAACGTGAATTTGATGGAATTTGAAGAAGAAGAATGAAACTGTTTTCAACTGGATATTAATTGGGGAATGAATAATCTAGGGTTTTAGGGCACCAAATTGGGCCTCTCCGACTCCAACCTTAAACCCTTTTCCAAATCAAATATTTTTAGTGGATTCAGGCCCAGGCCCAGGCCCAAGATCATCCACCACATTTACCTACCTTTAATAAATTATCATTTTAAAAATATAATACTGATTAGGGGCAGGTGAAATGTGAAGGGAATGAATGTCTGAGCGGGTGAAAGAGTAAGGGGTCGTTTACCAAACGTTTATCTAGGTAAGCGTTTATCAAGTAATATTATCTCACCGCATGAATATGGTAAAAACCAAGAATCTTACCCGGTAAGAGCGAGACAAAGACCAAAAGTCTTACCCGGTAAGTGAGCGCGACGACTCTTACCACGGTAAATGCTTACCGGGTAAATTGTTGCATATAATGTCGTTTTGGTGGACTAAAATCTTACCCGACAAGTAAATAATAATATTAATTTTTACCGATAAACACTTAACGGATAAGTGTTTAGTAAACGACCCCTAAATCAGTGTATAATACTGATTAGGGGCAGGTGAAATGCTTCATTTGTTTTGGGGGTGCATTTTTTTCTCCTTTGGAGCTGTCCACAGATTGCTTTGGTTTTAATGGCAAGCATTCTTTGCTTACAAATAAAAAAAATGCATATTTTATTTATTTTTTATAAAATTATTGTGCATATGATTTGTGGTCCCCCATGAGAAACAAAAGTATTATATTATACAACTTATTTTATTAAGACTAGTTGTCTATCCGTGTAATGCGATGGGAGCCATGAATTTTAACGATTTTGAAGTTCCACTGGTCTTACATATTAACACAATTTGAATAAATAAGAGTTATGGTTCCAATTACAGACTATCGATGAAAAAATTGTATGACAGTTTAAAATCCAATATACTTAAAATCCAACATATTTAAACGACTCCACAAATGTATTCGATTTACACCAAGAGCAAAGAACCAATAAAAAAACTACAAATTTGACAGAACATAAGCCATGAAAAGACAAAAAAAGATGGGTTTTAGAATGAAATATCAACTGCTTACCCTCTTTCTTGTCCAGAAACTCAGATTAAGGTTGAATTAATACATGTATATATATTTAAAAAAAACCCAAGAACATATTAATTCAAAACATATTGTACAGTGTAATTTGAACAGCCTAACCCCAAAATATATAGTATATATATAAATAAATAACTATAAAAGTATAAATCGTAAATATTAAAAATATTTTTTCACAATATATATAATATATAATAATATAATTAAGTCAAAAACTATTTAATATTGGACTCATTTCGAAGGTATTAACGAGACGATTATAATGGTGTAACTTGTTAAAATAAAAATGTATTTTTAAACATGTTTTAATTGATATACGATTATGTATGTTAATTTGATAAAAGTTTAAAATGAAACATTTAAAAGTAAAGAACGTAAAGTAAATTAATTAATTAATTATAGGGGTATAAAATATAAATTTAAAATTATAATTTTAAAAAAATTGGTTGTGAGGGGTGAATGTATGTGAGGGGATGAGTGTATGTGAGAAGAGAAGGGGTTGAAAAAGTGAAAAAAGTGAAAAAAGTGAAAAAGTGAGTATAAAGGGTATTTTAATCATTTAATATTTTAAGACTTTAAGACTTTTGCTAAATTTGTTTAATAAGATAGCATAGATATTGTGATCATTTTGTTCATTTGTAACTTAATATGCAATTTCATGTTGATATTGAATGGGAAGTGATATTGAAGATGAATATAATCCTGAATAATATTTAAATTTCATAATGTTTGTTACATCTTTCATCAAATATATATTTGTTTTTATTCATTCTAAATAAAAGATGATATTCCAACATGATCATCATTTTCTTATTCATACATAATACAGAGTGATTCAAGTTGAATATCAACCTTTATTCATATCGAATAGTATCTAAAATTCATGATGGATGTTATATCATATCCATCAAAGATATATTTTGTTTTAGGGAGATATTCATTTATTCACGTTGAATAAATAACAGAATAATAATTGTAAGCCATATTTTAATATGATTAAATATTATTATGAAACTTACATTTATCTCCCACCAGTGAAAATATCCAGTTCTCGATCTTGTTCTCTATAGTTATGATGTTCCTGTTGGCATCCACTTTTCTTTGAAAATAAGGTGACTTGAGTTTTCTCCTCATCTTTTCAGTTCTTTTAATTTGTTATCAAACTAATTACATCCTTTTGTTTTTAATCGAATAATAAGTGGCGGTTTCTTTCTCACATCTCCTTCGCTAACAGTAGCATCTTGCTCTTTTTTTAGAGTATCTACTTATGATATCCCAAGACTGATGCTTGGAATACCCGAAGCAGCAACATCCTCTTCATCATGTGTGTTCACATCCCCTTCCTCGAGTTTCTCCTCATTCATCTCATCTCCAAGATCTTTCTCCTCATTCACCTCAGCATCAACATTTACCTCATTCACTTCACCTCCCTCAACTTTCTTACCATTCATCTTATTCACCTCATCTATTTGATCTTTCTCCTGAATCACCTCGGCATTCACCTTTAAATTCTTACCGATATTCTCCTCATCAGAAATATTCTAATCTTTTTGAAGATCCCCAATTCCATTCTTCATAATTTCCACACTTGCAATATCCATATCCTCTTGCATTCTAATTTCCTTATTTGTTTCCCGACCATCAATAAGAAATGCGCTGTCAATTTCCAATGATGTTCCTGCATTATTCCAAAATTAGGTGGTTTCGGTCCAAAAAACATCCTGTTTTTCCCCTCATCCATTCTATTCTCTTGTTGCATCCACTACAACATTATCATCTTTTTCAATCTATGTCGTAACAATATCCTCTTCAATCACTTTATTCTCATTTGTTGCTTCATTCGTTGCAACATCATCTTCTTTATCTACTTCTTCATTAACAAGACTTTTTGCATGCTCTTCATTCTTATTTTCTGTTCTACTCGTTGTAACATCAACATCTTTCTCTATTTGTTGACCAACATCATCACCTTTGTGAAATACCATAGTCACATTTTCCTCTTAATGTTTATTGGTAGTTGTTTAGTCATTCCAGATGTGAATTGAAATGATTTCTGATAACTGGCTTTCCAACCTTGGAAAGATTTATCATCTGGATACATGTTCATGGCTTGCTTGAAGTTGTATTCTACTTCTGCCTTGTTCGCATGTAGTTTTTCCAAACCTTCATCGAGCATACGTAAGTAATCCTACTGATTATTTTTGATATAAAGTTTAGTTTGTAAAGTGAGAGTATTCTGATTACCATATAAATATATGTTGTAATCTTATTTTAGTACCTTAGTTGTCTTCTTTCTTCTGAGCTTTCATCATTTCCTTCTTTTTCAACATATTCCCCATTCATTTACGCTACTTCCAAATCCTCCAATACTTATTTCTTTTTTCTCTCTTATCCTCATTGTCTCAGTTGTCCATCCTTTCAACACATGTCTCACCTTCTCATGGTTAATTCCATTGCATTTTGTTGAATCAAGGTAAAGGAGCTTCATTTTGTAACATACAAATATGTAATTTAGAAAAAAAGTATATTATGATTGTCAATTTCTAATTGAACTTTCATGTTATATATCATTCATCAAGCATATGATGTTTCATTCATGCGGAACAATGAAAGTGTTCATGGTGAATACACCAATATGTATATAACAAAAAGTAACTTCGACATTCATGTTTATTTAAGTGATATGCAATGAATAAAAAAGAGATATTAATATTGAATGCATAGAAACTTGCATCTGATTCGTTATTCTAACCTATCTTAATTTCCTTTGTGCAATCTATAATATAACTACATTAATTGATATCTTTGAATTGAATATCTGTTCCGAGGAGTGAGAGAATGGTAAGGTTGCATTGGCCATCTTCGTTGACACTGGCATTGTATTTACAAACAGAATAAAGAAGTTTAATTTGAAATTCCAATCTGCACTCTTTGATTCGATTATTTTCTTCACAATGTCCTACGGCCAAATCAATGATTTCTCAAACTGTGCTCTCCAATCTTTAACTCTCGTATCCCATCCTATATTTGTCTCAAGGTTGTTTATGTTAACTTCATCATTTTTCAGTCCTACAGTGTGATTCACTGAATCCTTCACAACTTGAATTGGCCTCTTTCTTGTTCTAATGACCATGTTCTTTGTGTCAAATGTGTCTATAACGTAATGAGCCAACTTCGAACGAATTGAATCAATAGTCATATCAAGTATACTTCCAAACCCCATCTCTTTAATGCAATTTATTTGAGGTAATCTCAATTTCCCAATTGCCATCACCAAGTTCTTTGGCATTGTTCTGATGGATAGGGCCCTATGTTGGATCTTAGATGTTCCATTTCCATGTCTTTCATCTTCTTCACCGTGTTTCTTCTTTGAATCGGTACTCTTCATATTTAACTCCTTGTTCTGTAAATCGGTCGCTTGATTTGAATCGTCATTTTTTTTGTTACTTACTTTGGCTTTTTTACCCCATATTGTAGAGTGGATCTCGAAAGATATGCCCTGATAATGGGGAGGTTCCCTTCGACATCGATGTTTTTCTTTTCTATTATATTAGTATTTTCTATTTAATGGGATTTAGAAATATTTTTTTTGTTGATTAATTTGGATATCCAACCCGCTATGCGAGCCGACTAATCTCAAGGCGACCACCTGCTTTGCAGATAGTCCGGAGTCACCGCATTTGAACCTCCGTAGCCACAAGAGGATTTTTATTCCTCCTTGGATTTGAACCTAGAACCTCCAGGTACTTTTGACCTTTGGAACCAAGCTCAAACCAATCAGGCACCACCCTTGTGGTTGAAATATTTTGTGATGAACGTACAGGAAAATCTTCTTTGGAATAGTGTTTTTGTTGCATCTTCTTGCTAAGCCAGTGTTTATATAGACAAGAAG